AGCCACGTCCCATGCGCAAGACACACCGACATGAGTAGTAAAGAAGAGAAAAATCTTTACTCTTAATAGCAGAGATGAAACACAAACTTGCAATGTTGCATACAAAAAACAAACAGTGCAAGAAACTTAAATAGTCTTTGTAAGTAACACAAAATAAGACATCTTCATCTTAAGTCAAATGAGAAAGCAAAACATAAACCTCGAGTAAACAGCTATTCCACCATAGCCTCCTTTAGAGCATCATAACAGCGTCTCTCCAACCTGCTCCTCAGAGCAGAGCCTTTGAGCATAGATCTCCTCAAAGAAAAAGCTTTCCAGAACTGTATTCTAAAAGCCCATACAGTTATACCCTATGTGGCCCAAGCTTGCTGGTTGACCTACATTACCAGCTGCACATAATAATTACCATCATAAGGTTTTTCTTCAAAACACACACACTTGGTCCTGCTACAACTTACTGTAACAAATATTTGTTTATTTTATTTATTTACAGTATTTATATTCCACCCTTCTCACCCTGCAGGGGACTCAGGGCGGATTCCAATGTACATATACATGGCAAACATTCAATGCCATAGACACACAACATATATAAACAGACACACAGAGGCTACGTAACTTTCCAGCTTTTGATGAGGGTATTCTGGCCACCAGGGGAGCTGTCGCTTCACCGTCCATTTGTGACACTGATGAAGTACTTCCTCAATCTTTGCATGCTTGCTGGAGATTTTTATGGCATTGTAAATTAGTTAAATTACCCCCCCCCCCCCACATACGTGGTACCTAAATTTCCTACTTGACAGATGCAACTGTCTTTCAGTTGCAAACTGTCTTTCAGTTGTCTGCAAAGGTAGACAGCAAGCTACACAAATTGGTTGGAAGCTCACTCTGACGCAGGCTGGCTTCAAACTCATGACCTTTCGGTCAGTAGTGATCTTAATGCAGCTGACTCCCAGCCAGCTGTGCCACAGTCCCGGTGCAATATGTCCAAATGTGAACACTGGTGAAGTTTGAGGAAAATAAACCTTGAAATTTGGGACATTTGGGAGTTGCACTTGTTGGGATTTATAGTTCACCTACAATCAAAGAGCACTCTGAACCCAGCCCACAATGGATCTGCACCAAAATTGCATACCGGTGGGGTTGGGACGGGTTGTTTTTGAATTCTGGGGGTTGTAGTTCACCAAAACCAAAAAGGAAGAGAAGGACAGGTGGAGAGATCCTCAGCCTTCTCTGCCAAAAGTGTTCCCGACCATCAAAAATATGAGTTTTCTGATAGTCTTTGGCAACCTCTCCGAAAACCCTTCGTGACCCCTCAGGGGTCCCAATCCCCAGGTTGAGAAACACTGATATAGAGAGTTGGATGAGACAAGGACCTCACGGCAACAAAGGACTATTGCTGGATGGCATCCTTTTGTGATTCATTGTTGAAATCATTGTACAGCTTTGCAATGAAGAAAGCCAGTGAATCTTTAGCATCACAATAAGAGGAATACCAAGGCCTGGAAAGGCATCAACGTTTTTTTAAAAGAAGCATCAACTGAGGATTATTACCACTAATGGCTTGGTTTGGCTCTTCAGTGTGGCAAAACAGCTGTGTTGCTAAGCAGGAAAACAAGCTCCGGGAACAAAATGATCTGTATCCCAAGCTGAAACCTTGTGTTCTTCACAAAGGGTCTCATTATAGGATGCTTGTTGCTTTAGACAGCAATGTCCACTCCCTTCCCCTACCTTTGTTGTCTGCAGCATCGGGGAGAATGAATGAACATACAAAGGGCCAGTTGGGGGAAAAAGAAGAGTGTAACTGTCCTGGAAAACGATATAAATTCTTAAGAAATGTTGAGAAATTTCCTTAAGTAAGTGAGCCATGAAATGGAACTCGAGCTTGCAAATCAAACAACTGGCTGACAAAGAAGTCAAGTTTCCTATGGGTGAGGGTGTTTTCAGATTAGCCATTATTTAACGATTGCTCAGGGCTTAGTCTACACGACTGTTGTTCATAATTTACCTGCTCCTCCAGCCAGCTAGTTCAATAGAGGACAGAACTTATGAGCCCAGATTTTAGAGTCGTGGCGTTATTTGCAAAAGGGAAACAGTGAAATGATCCCCTTGCTAACATTTGCAGCTTTTCGATAATCTCCACAGAAGCGAATACTCATAAAACTCAGGTTAAGCAAAAGATGAGGCCTGGTGCGGCAAAATGTTCCCACAGTGAGAGAAAGAGGAGGAGACTGGAAACTTAACCACTGGAACATCTGCTCCAGTTATCGCTTGGCATCCGAGCCAACCGTGGTATGGCAAATTAGCTTCATACCGCTATGTGGGCCAATGACTGAGGATGCCCATCTCCATCTATAACAACAACAACAACAATAAAGTCGATGACAGATCCCAAGTGTAGACTCTGCAAGGAAGCAGATGAAACAATAGACCATATCCTCAGCCTGCTGCAAGAAGATGGCACAGACAGACTACAAGCAGAGGCACAACACCGTTGCCCAGATGATTCATTGGAACTTGTGCCACAAATACCATCTGCCTGCGACAAAGAACTGGTGGGATCACAAGCCGGAAAAAGTTACAGAAAACTATTCTGGGACTTCCCAATTCAGACAGAGTTTTGGAGCACAAGACTCCTGACCTCATGATCATGTTAAAACACAAAGAATGGATCGTCGATGTTGCAATCCCAGGTGACAGCAGGATTGAAGAGAAACAACTGGAAAAGCTGACATGATATGAGGATTTAAAGACTGAATTGCAAAGACTCTGGCACAAGCCAGTAAAGGTGGTCCCAGTGGTGATCAGCACACTGGGTGCAGTGCCTAAAGACCTTGGCCTGCACTTAAACACAATCGGTGCTGATAAAATTACCATCTGTCAGCTGCAAAAGGCCACCCTACTGGGATCTGCACACATTTTTCACTGATACATCACACAGTCCTAGACACTTGGGAAGTGTCTGATGTGTGATCCAATATAACAGCTAGCAGAGTGTCTGGTGGACTCATCTTGTTGTGTTTCAAATAATAATAATAATAATAACCCCCCGATGGGTGCCACCTTGTTGTGGTCGGGGAGCTTAACTGCTCCAAGGATGCTGAGAGATGTGCTAGAGTAGTGTAACTATTAGCAGGTTCAACCAAGTCAGAGAGGTCTTAGTTGAGGAAGGGAACCAAGAGCACCTAACCCATTAGCACTATAGAGAAGCAAACCAATACAAAGTCTATACTGGCTCGGTCGACGCCCAGGATAAAAAGGACCGCAGTGGATGCTGCTGATTCTGGACATCTATCGACAAGTGGGCTACAGAATCAAAATACAAATGAACAATCACAGAAGCGGCAGAAATATACAATGCTGGAAAACTACACAGTTATGAAATGCTATTACAAATACGAAAACAACAGTAAAAACTCAGCCGTTATCAAGACCTCAAAATCGAACTGCAAAGGCTCTGGCATAAACCAGTACAGGTGGTCCCAGTGCTTAATGGTACACTGGGTGCTGTGCCAAAAGATCTCAGCAGGCATTTGGAAACAATAAACATTGACAAAATCACGATCTGTCCACTGCAAAAGGTCACCTTACTTGGATCTGCGCACATCATTTGAAAATACATCACACAGTCCTAGACGCTTGGGAAGTGTTTGACTTATGATTTTGTGATACGAAATCTAGAATATAGATCTCATTTGCTATGACATACTGTGTTTTTGTGTTAATAAAATAAGAACAACAACAACAACAACAACTGACAAGGAAAAAACATCGATGTGGCTCACAAATGGAACTTTGAAATAGGAGACGGAGGGTCTGATTCTTACAGCCCAAGAACAAGCCACTAAAACAAATGCCATCAAAGCCAAAATTGAAAAGTCAATGACAGATCCCAAGTGCAGATAGACTCTGCAAGGAAGCAGATGAAATAATACATCACATCCTCAGCTGCTGCAAGACGATTGCACAGACAGACTACAAGCAGAGGCATAACACCGTTGCTCAGATGATTAATTGGAATTTGTGCCAAAAATACCATCTGCCTGCAACAAAGAACTGGTGGGATCACAAGCCTGAAAAAGTTACAGAAAAATGAACACGTCAAACTACTCTGGGACTTCCAAATTCAGACTGACAGAGTTTTGGAGCACAATATTCCTGATCTCACGATCATGGGAAAAAACAAAGTATGGATCGTCGATGTTGCAATCCCAGGTGACAGCAGGGATTGCAGCATCCTCTGGAAAACATTTACAAAACATTTCCTCTAGAAAACATTTCCAACTTCTTGCCTCTACCTGCCCTTAAATTATGCATGAGTAAAAAATAAAATAAGACAAACAAGAAGTATGTGAAGAAGAAACAAGGCAGTGATAATCAAGAGACGGCACAAAAGGCGAGGATGGTAAAGATTTAAATGGTCTACCATCCCATCTCCAGGGGCAAAGCACGAAAGGACAACTTGGAAGCCCCTGAAGAGACTCAGAAATGAAGTGGGCAGATCCAAAGACAACCTGGCAAAATGGCACTACCTGGAAGAATCCTCCACCTTGTGCAACTGTGGAGCAGAACAAGCAACTCCGCACCAGTATGCTTGTCCACAATGTCCTGCCTCATGCACAAAGGAAGAATTGTTAAACACTACAGACAATGCAGTCGCTGTTGCCCATTTTTGCCCAAAAGATATTTAGCCTCTCGTGCTCCTTCTATTTTTATTTATACTTATTTATGCAATGCTTTTGATACAAAATAAATAAATCCCATCTCCATCAAATGCAATGTCCCAGCGCCAATGCTGCAAGCAAAGTCTTCCGGTCCTTGTACATGAAAACCATTAAAAGCATACACTTTCCCACAGCATCTTTCACCTTGCATGTATGTATTATCGCTTCAGCAGCTAAGATCTCATGAACCACCAGACAGGGAAGGAAGATACTACAGAAGTGATTCCACAAAACATGTTTATGTATAACGGAACGAAGGTGAGGAATTGAACTTACCTTAAAGATCAAGCAATCCTCTTGGTGCTCCGCATAGAGCGAGGTCAGCCGGTACTGGTTATCCGTCGTCATGTCAATCTGATAACCAGTCAGCTTGTAGCACACCTTGCGGAACTCCTGGATCTTGGTCGAAAAGACTTCTTTTAAGCGCTGGTTTTTCAGTTCGGCACTCTCCACTTGCTTCTTGAGTTCTGTGAAAGAGAGAGGGAGAAGTGTTTTGTTGCATGTTGCAAACAGTACTTCTATGTTTTTTCTTTTTTTCCCCTGTGTTCAGAAAAGCACTGGATAGGGAAGGGTTGAATAAAACAGCAAGGGAGCAAGAAACAAACAAACCTAAAAGGCAGAACTCTAATAGGTCACTCGGGGACTCAAAATGCAGGTTCAGGTATCTTATTCCTGGCAGTCCAAATTCAGACTGCTGTCCATATTGCTACAGAGCCACCAGTATGGAGCAACCATTGCTGAATCAAAAGAACCAAGTTGACCTGAAGGAACAATAGAACCTAGTAGTATTAAAACCTCATTTAGGAGACTAACGGCACAAAGCATCTTGATTTATTAGTCATCAAACTTCCAGCTCACTTCTTATCCTGTTTCTATCCCACCGATTCCCATCTGCGTAACCTGGTCATCAAATTGTATCACCAAAATTTAGCCAAGGTGAAAGTGCAAGTCCTCTGTTCTTGTCGTGAAGGAGAGCCACACAATGCAAGTGTTACTTACTAATTTTGTGTGTGTGTCAGGAGTGACTTGATAAACTGCAAGTCGTATCTGGTGTGAGAGAATTGGCTGTCTGCAAGAATGTTTCCTAGGGGATGCCCAGATATTTTACCATCCTGTGGGAGGCTTCATTCATGTCCCCACATGGGAAGCTGGACCTGACAGATGAGAGCTCACCCCACTCTGCAGATTCAAACTGCTGACCTTTCGGTCAGGTCAATAAGAATAAGAATAATCCATGGACAGTTCCTGGGAAAAACTGAGAGCCAAATTGACAAAGAAAAAACATGGATGTGGCTCACAAAAGGAACTTTGAAAAAGGAGACAGAGGGCCTGATTCTGGGAGATCAAGAACAAGTCATTAGAACCAACGCCATCAAAGCCAGAATTGAAAAGTCGACAACAGATCCCAAATGTAGACTCTGCAAAGAAGCAGATGAAACAATAGATCACATCCTCAGCTGCTGCAAGAAGATCACGCAGATAGACTACAAACAGAGGCATAACACCCTTGCTCAGATGATTCATTGGAACTTGTGCCACAAAGACCATCTGCAACAAAGAAGTGATGGGATCACAAGTTGGAAAAGAAGATGAACACGTCAAACTCCTCTGGGACCTCCGAATTCTGGGACCTCCTCTGGGACCTCCGAATTGTGCCCCAAAGGCAGAGTTTTGGGGCACAATACTCCTGACCTCAAGATTGTGTTAAAAACAAAATATGGATTGTTGATATTGCAATCCCAGGCAACAGCAAGATTGAAGAGAACTAGAAAAGCTGACACAATATGAGGATTTAAAGATTGAACTCCAAAGACTCTGGCACAAGCCAGTCAAGGTGGTCCCAGTGGTGATCGGCACACTGGGTGCAGTGCCTCAAGACCTTGGCCTGCACTTAAACACAATCGGCTTTATTTAAACTTTATTTGTATTCCGCTCTATCTCCACAAGTGGACTCAGGGCGGATTCCAGTATAACAATGACAAACACTCAATGCCTACATAAAACACATGATACTAACATAAAATCCCAGAAAACCCCATACATAAAAGTAACATTAAAGCCTGACATCAAATTAAGCCCCAACATCAGTAAATTGAACCTGACATCAACAAATTAAACTACATGTAGTCAGACAAAATTCTATAATAACATAAATCTGAACAAATCATCCACATCACTGTACAACAGCCAGCAAGGGTTCACAAAACGGTATGGGTCGGTTATGTAGTCAAATGAGGGTTTAACCCATTGCACCATTGGGGACTAAATAAGAAATTAGTGACTTGAGGGAATATTTAGAGAAGAGCATCATTATTACAGACCTTATTCATAATAATGCCCAGGAATGCAGTCTACGATATACACATACCTTGCCACAAATTAAATGCTACAGATTACTTACCTGGAACATTCAGATTATCATCTCAATAACCTGAGAGAAAAACCACCCTTGTGTTCATATGTGAGAAATGAGTTCCCTATCTAATTCAAACCAGGAAGCCATGTTTACCAACTTAACAAACAAGATAAAATCTTAAGCCAATCTGAAACTTTGATTTAAGATTCTGGCTTGTTGCAAAGTTTGCTCAGAAGTTGAAAACAATAAGTAGGGGCTTTGGTTTTCCATTTGGAAGAAATTGAAAATAATGGTGTCCTTGTGTATATCTCGGTGCTCTATGGATACAATCCTTAAGTGTTCTAAAGAAAGATAAAACCAAGAAGGAAAAATCCAAATCGGAAGAGCAGACCCACTCTTTCTGTACTGGTAGATTCCTGGTACAGAAAACCCAAGAGACACATGACCGCCACTCAACCAGTATTTTATGGCTAGAAAGGTTTGCTGCTAGCATTGTGAATCCTTCAAGAGGATACACAACAATTACCATTAATCTTTCATCCAAGGTACTGAGTAATTAAACAGTAATTTATGCCCCATTAATTATGAGGATTGGCTTTAGTTAAACATAGGTTGGGGATGCTGCCTAATGGCTTGTTTCGCCAACGTGGCAGCTCCAGGATGAGCAAAGAAACATCCATTTCCTTAAGTAAGGAACAGAGATGGGCTCTACGATATCAGGCATATCCCCACATTGTCACTCTCTCTTGAGCAACGTGACCTTTCAGGCCATGAAAACAGCAATGATTGCTCAAGTCAACTCACATGAAAAAAATCTGCAGCATCCAAGATGTCCTGTTTTATCTGGCATTGTTATTAGTGCTCATTCTTACAATACAGCACTATCAAGGCATACAACACTCTTTGTACAGTTTCCTACTTAAAATATAATCTACGAGGGTTATTTGGAAAGTAAGGTTAAAAGGCACGTAGCTCTCACGGGGAATATTCCCGGGGGAAGTTGGTATCACTGCCTTGTAGAGGGAATTCAGTGGAAGCGAATGAACAGTGCCAGTTATCATTAGCTCATCGACTGGCATTGTGGTGAAGGTTAGAGATGAGGGTCCTCATTCTGTTTCCCTCCAAGTTCAAAATCTGTGTTGTAATGTGCTATCTAAATGCTAAGGGCATAGACCTCGCTACGATTCACCACGAGAAAGATCGTGGTGTCAGTGTTTTTGGAGGGAAAAGGGGTTCTGCTCATTGATTTTTTGGAAAGAGGTGAAACAATCAATGCTGTAAGATATTGTGAGACCACGTACAAACTTCACAGAGCCATCTAAAACAAATGTTGTGGGATGCTGATGGCAGGAGTCTGTCTCCTTCATGACAATGCACAGGAGCCCCCGGTGGCGCAGTGGGTTAAACCCCTGTGCTGGCAGGACAGGTCGCAGGTTCGAACCCAGGGAGTACGGATGAGCTCCCTCTATCAGCTCCAGCTCCTCATGAGGGGACATGACAGAAGCTTCCCACAAGGATGATAAAATATCAAAAACATCCGGGCATCCCCTGGGCAACGTCCTTGCAGACGGCCAATTCTCTCACACCAGAAGCGACCTGCAGTTTCTCAAGTCACTCCTGACATGACCAAAATAAAAATGACAATGCGTATCGGCACACTGCTCATGCAACACAAGAGTTGTTGACTTGGTTGGGATGTTTGAAGTCACCCCTCTCACAGCCCCCAATCTCACACCCAGTGACTCTCATTGAAGGAACACCTGGGTGGAAAACACTTTTCCGATGATGACGAGGTTAAAATCGAAGAGCTGAACTGCCTGAAAAAGGGTGGTGGGAGACTTCTATGATACAGGCATCAAAAAACTCATCTTGCAGTTGTTAAAATGTATTGAACTGAATGGTGATTATGTGGAAAAATAATGCAATGCCTATGCTACAATCCATGTAAGTTTTGTTCAAATATAGTCATTCTTTGTATTGTCGAAGGCTTTCATGGCTGGAATCACTAGGTTCTTGTGGGTTTTCTCGGGCTATAGGGCCATGTTCTAGAGGCATTTCTGCTGACATTTCGCCTGCATCTATGGCAAGCATCCTCAGAGGTAGTGAGGATAGTCATTCTTTGTGTTTTAAAAAAATATTGTAACTTTACTTTCCCTTCTATAATGCTATAGTCACCAACCAAAGTTTGCCCTACTGTCAGTTTTGTGATTAAACTATATGGATATAGATATAGTTATCACCCACCTTCTCCTGTATTGTTAGTATGTTGGTATGTTGGTATACCCCTTGGGGCTTATAATAAGCTTGGGCATGCAATGGATGGCTGTTTGGTTGTGAATGCCAAGGATGCCTTCTAGCACAGACTCTGATGCTTGAAGGGCCCAAAACAAAGAGTGTCAGCTGGAGCATCCACTGGGTGCTTGATCAGAATGGGAAGGTGCCACACGACATTCCCTCCAGGTAAAGCGTGCTTCCCACCAACCTGCCAAACCTCAGCTTCACTCTCATCTGCACGGTGCAAAGAGGACTAGCACGAAAGGAGAAGGCAGCCTGCTGGGTCAGGAAGTGAATGAGCGCCCTTCCCTTCCTTGGTGGGTGAAGAAGAAATCTGTTTCTCAAAATCCATCAAAGTTGAAAGGAGTAATCTTTTCTTCCTCGCTCACCAAGGAAAGGAAAGGAAGTATACAGGGGAGAGAGAATAGGAATGAGAAATGGGGTTTTGTGAGCACAGATTGACATGGGATACAGAACAAGGAGGAGGTCCCTCTCTTTCTCTCCATCCCTGATATATGATGGATGATAGGATTGGATTGGGTACATGCATGTGTATGAGCAATGGAGCACCAGAAGACTTCAGAGCCTTTGCAATAAGTAAAGCAGTGTTTCTCAACCTGGGGGTGGGACCCCTGGAGGGGTCGCGAGGGGTGTCAGAGGGGTCGCCAAAGACTATCAGAAAACAGTATTTTCTGTTGGTCATGGAGGTTCTGTGTGGGAAGTTTGGCCCAATTCAATCATTGGTAGGGTTCAGAATGCTCTTTGATGGTAGGTGAACTATAAATCCCAGCAACTACAACACCCAAATGCCAAGGTCTGTTTCCCCCAAACTCCACC